AAATAAATAAAATCTTTAAAAAAAAAAAAAACAGACAATTCTATCTGAAGGGAAGAGCGAGCAAAGACTGGGTGTGTCCTCGTTGGTGGAATCTTCCACCTGAATTGAAGCTGTTGGTTATATTTGTCATAATGACCTTGCGCATGGCCATAGGGATGGATGAGCTTTTGATTCAGCCAGTTGCCCTATGAGTAATTGCTGATGTGCCTGTCTTCCCCCTCAAGGCCAGACCAGTTCTCATTTTTCCCATCTCCAATGCCCAACACCACGTTCCTGACAATCTGGCTACTGAGATGAAGGTTCCTGACAAGTAAGGGGAAGGAAATTACCTGAGGTTTCTGTATTTACATCTGGCTTACTAGCTAGCTATCCTTGGATAGGGTTGCCCAGCTTTACATTTGAGAATGAGGACAATATGCCTTGTTGGTGTGTGTGAAAATGAGATGACAGGATGTTAATGAAGTGCCTAGATGAGTAACCTGCCTGTACTATTAAGGTTTGGGTATAAAGCTGCCTCTTACCAGGCAGGCTAGTGGTATAAATGTTGCATTTATAGGCCTTGAGATTTGCTAAGTATCTTTTTTTTTTTTTTAAGGGTTATCTCTTTCATACAGTTGCTGGGAAACATCAGGATTTAAAATACATCTCCCCAGAAATTGTAAGTCATCTTTTTGGATCCTGCCACCTGTGGGGTATTTGAACCTAGTTGTTTCTGGCAGCCAAAGTTGATTCTCCTGGGCTTTCTCTCCACAGATGGCATCTGTTTTAAACGGCAAGTTTGCCAACCTCATTAAAGAATTTGTTATCATTGACTGCCGGTACCCATATGAATATGAGGGAGGCCACATCAAGGTATGTTCCTGAGGTTTGCTTGTGAGCTCTGCTGTTGTGGGAGGCGTAGGAGCGCCGACAGGATCTGTGATTTTATTTTATAACTTTTTTTTTTTTTAAGATTTTATTTATTTATTTGAAGCAGAGGGAGAGGGAGACCCAGCAGACTCCCCTCTGAGCAGGGAGCCGATGCAGGACTCCGTCCCAGGACCCTGGGATCATGACCTGAGCTGAAGGCAGACGCTTAACCAACTGAGCCACCCAGGCGCCCCATGGATGTGTGATTCTAAAAGGTGGAGGGGTGGTCAGGGCGCCTGGGTAGCATAGTTAGTTAAGCGTCCAACTCTTGATCTCAGCTCACGTCTTGAACTCAGGGTTGTGAGTTCAAGCCCTGCATTGGGCTCCACATTGGGCATGGAGCCTACTTTAAAAAATAAATAAAAGTAAAATAAAGGCGGGTGGTGACACCTGGCTGCTTACTAGCTCATTTGCTGGTTATGAGAATTTTTAAAAGGGGTCTTGAGTCCTGGTGCACTGAAGAATGTTCCCTGGCCTACACTACTCCACCACATTGTACAGCAAATGCTCCCTGTCCTGTGCCTCACACCGTCACCATCAAGGGCATTTCTAGGTGGTACCCACTGATTTCCAAGCCAGGCCTGGGCACCCCGAGGCTTCTCACTAGAAGCCAGTCTCTGGTGACATATCCCAGTCTATGCCAGACTTAGTGATGCCTCTAAGTCTATAGTTGAATTAAGCTGCAGGGTGGAGGGCAGGCGTGGGGACATGGTTTCCCAGGAAGAAAGTAACTGGCTGTGCCAACTTAAATCTTTTAACCCATAAAATAGTGTTGAAATACAGTAAAGGGGTACATTAAATATAACATTAGTGTTTGCCACTGTCTCAGTGGCTTTTTGAAAGTCCCGAATTCCTAAATACCCATCGTGCCCATCATGGCGTAACAGAATATGAGGTGCCCAATTAAAGATGACTCACAGAATCCTTATTGGCAAGGATGATGCACACAGGTGCCAAAAGAGTCTCTGGTGCCTCCACAGGGTGCGGTGAACTTGCACATGGAAGAGGAGGTTGAGGACTTCTTACTCAAGAAGCCCATCGTACCTACTGATGGCAAGCGCGTCATTGTCGTGTTCCACTGCGAGTTCTCTTCTGAGCGAGGCCCTCGCATGTGAGTGCTGTGTGCAGCTGGCCTCTTGGCCACGGGCCCGCGGTAACGGGGGGCATGAGGCGGGGGAGGCTCACACTCGGGGCGTACTTCAGCACACTGAGCACCCTCTCGCACCTCCCAAGTCATTTCCGTACCTTAGCCTGCATACATGTAACTGTTTGCTTCTGTGAAAGTTCAAATTCATGTGTAGCAGATGTTTTCCCCAATTCTTATTTATTAAGCAGTCATTTGGTTTGATGAGCAGCGTCCTTGAGTGTGGCTTTTTATAGGCTTGACCTAGCAGTGTCTGTTGCCAAGGCTTTGGGCCTTCTCCAGCCCGGCCCTGTCTCCGACGCTACTGTGGTCTGTGCTGGGAGAACTGAGGGACAGCTGGAGAGGGGGTTGGGGGCTGGGCCAGGGTGGGCTGCAGCTCTGACAGGGGTGGGCCAAGTTAGACTTTTCATAGGCCCACAGGCCTGGATTCTTGTGCAGCCTTTTCATTTTGAACCAGTTCAAAAGTCAGGCCACATGGGGGCGCCTGGGTGGCACAGTTGGTTAAAAGTCCAACTCTTCATTTTGGCTCAGGTCCTGTTCTCAGGGTCATGAGTTCAAGCCCTGAGTTGGGCTCCACACTCAACCGGGAGTCTGCTTGAGATTATCTCCCTCCCTCTGCCACACCGCCCCCCCACACCACACACACACACACACTTACTCAAATAAATAAATCTTTTTTTTCCTTTTTTCTTTTTTTTTTTATTTGAGAGAGAGAGAGCATGCACAGGAGTGGGGAAGAGAGAGAGGGAGAAGCAAACTCCCCACTGAGCAGGGAGCCCATGCAGGGTTCAATCCCAGGACCCTGAGATCATGACCTGAGCCAAAGGCAGACGCTTAACGACTGAGCCGCCCAGATGCCCCTAAATAAGTAAATCTTAAAAAAGAAAAGGCCATTTGCCTACGTGTGCTTCACCTGACTTCATCAGCAGCTGCTGTTTCGCTGCATTAGCACACACACGACTACAGCAGGGACTTGTCTCCCCGCCTACCTCCCAAGGGCAGGGATTTGCCCTGCACTTGGCACAAAACTGTAATTACAGGAAGAAGTAGGATTTGAGAGAGGACTCCTGTTCCTTCACGAATGGGATTATTCATTCAGGTACAGGTATTTACTGTTGGCCCTCACATGCTAGATAGTGTTCTGGGTACTGTGGAGAACCAAAAGCCCTGCCTTCAGGGAGCTGGCATTTCCAAGTGGGCGGGAGCAGACAAATACGATAAAAAATAGGTCAGCTACTCCGTGTGTTAGAAGGTGCTCCCAGGCAGGTTGGAGGAACAGCAAGGGGGCCAGAGTGGCTGGAGTAGAGAGAGGGGGAGGGCCGCAGGGGCGGGGTACCACATTATGGGCCACTGTAAGGACTTTGGCTTTTGTACCAGGGGTTGGGAGGTCAGGAGCCACAGCGAGGTGAGGGTATTAGTAAGAGTATTCAGGATTCAGTCCAAGCAGAGGGTGCAAGTAGGCGCCCTGAGGCCTATTTAAAAGGCACAGGAAGAAAGCAGCCGGCTTACATAGGAAGTAAGGGAGGGACCCCGGCCGTGGAGGAGGCTGGGGGGTGTGCCAAGGGTGGAGACTGCATTGGAAAGCTGCCTCGGAAGCTGTCACTCCACATGGGGTGCCGGGCAGTAGGGCTGTTCAGCTCAGAGGCAGGACCGTTGGAGAGAGACCGTCTCCCTTCCACCACCTGTGAGCTCTTCCTAAAGATTACATGTGGCCAGGAATGCAAAGCTCAACACTGACTGTTTGCAAGAATGACCCGGAAACTGGGAAGCTGTGTAAGGCGTGCTCGCCCCGCCCCACCGCCCTCACTGTGTTGTCTCGCGTTGCTCTGTATCGGAAGAGCTCACCTTGCCGCCGCCTGCCTTCTTGACAGGTGCCGGTACGTAAGAGAGAGAGATCGGCTTGGTAACGAGTATCCCAAGCTCCACTACCCTGAATTGTATGTCCTGAAGGGCGGGTACAAGGAGTTCTTCCTGAAATGCCAGGTAAGGGGAAGTCTCTGGAGGGCACGGTGCCCCCCTCACGCAGCTCGGACGGTCCGATCTGGCTGGTGGTCATGGCTGTGTCTCGTCCTGGCTCTGGGGTTCTGCCCTGCACAAAGAAGGGCCCTGGAACGTGCTGCGCTTTTGGTGCTGCTCCCCACCTTGCAAGCCCAGATGGGGGGAGCCGGCTTCCACGCGTGAGCCAGGGGCCCCTCATCTCGTCCTCTCCTGTCTGCAGTCTCACTGTGAGCCCCCCAGCTACCGGCCCATGCACCACGAGGACTTCAAAGAAGACCTGAAGAAGTTCCGCACCAAGAGCCGGACCTGGGCAGGGGAAAAGAGCAAAAGGGAGATGTACAGTCGCCTGAAGAAGCTGTGAGGGCAGCCGTGCCGGACAGCAGCAGCCTGGCACTCCCTCTGTGCCTCCCCCCTTCCCTCTTTGCTGCAGAGAAACTTGAGCGAAGGGGCCAGCCGCGTGCACGACGTGCGGAGAGAGGATCCGGAGCTGGTGGGCCTTCCCCTGGCTCCGCGCTCCCTGGGTTGGAGCGTCCCGCCGGCCGCACCTCCTCCGTCCCTGTAAGACGTTCTCCTTCTGCCTCGGGACTGGCCGCCAAGGCTGTCACTGCTTTCACTGGCCGCAGCACCGGTCCAAGCACAGAGTCAAGAAGTTCTGACTTCTCACCGCCCCCGCCGTCGGACAGACCACCTGGGGCCTTTCTGGGCACTGTCCTCTCCTGAGGCGGGGGGTAGGAGAGTGGGAGAGAAGTAACGGAAGCAGAAATGCTGTGGTCAGATGCCAAAGACAGCCTGGGAAGGGATGGTCCTGGTGGGATAGCCCGTATCTTTAATTTATTCAACTTCATCAATCACTTTATTATTTTTTTTTTTTAACTCCTGGAGACTTTTATTTAACTGCTTCTTTAAGTCATAATACTGCCATTCTGGGTAGGGTTTTATCATCCCAGGGACTACCTCTGCTTAAAAAAAAAAAAAAAAAAAGATGGGGGAGAAGAGGCAAACTTGTGTTGAGGGACAGAGCTAGGAGCTCTGTCACCCCCAGGAGGCACTGTGGTACTGGGCCCGCTGCTATTTAAAGCCAAGGACTGAGGTACTGGTAGGAGCAGGCACTGGACTCAGACTTGGCTACAGGACATAAGCTAAACCTCCCAGACCTACCTCGAAGGCCACTGAGATCGGGTTGGGGGCGGGGGGCTGACCCTGCTCTTCCTCACCCCGGTTCCCTCTGACGCTGGCTGGTATAGGAGTCCCAGTCAGGAAAGCACTTCAGGCAGCTTCCATTGGGCCGCGCCCAGGTCATTGTTGGAATGTGGTAGCGTAGGTGTCCTAGAGTAGGGGGGTCAGGGCGGGGGGGGGGCTCTTCGGGATGGGGGAGGGGAGTGTACACTGAGTGTCTTCGATTACTCTGATACTCTTGAATAGCTTTTAATTTTCTAAAAATAGTCACTGTCCGAGTCAGGGAGTATCAAATCAGTGTTCGCTGGGCCACCCAAGGGTGAAGAGGGGCTGGAAGCCCTGGGCATTAGGAGAGGGCTGTGGGTGCTGACATACAGATGACGGTACCGAATGTGTTTCCCAGGAGGCAGCGTGGTGGATTTTGAAGGTAAAACTTTGAGTTTATCATGTTTGAATTTGAGGGACAGGGAGTGATGGACCATCACTAGTTGCCCCCTCATCTAACCCCGTGGAAATGGGGGTCTCAAAGGAACAGCTCCTATCCAAGGAGCTGGGGCTGACTTGGTTGATTCTGGACAGGCCTCTTTGGTTCCTGCTCATCCCCATCCATAGGCACCAGCCTCCGCACCAGCTTTGCTCCACTGGGGTGTAGCCAACTTTTTCTTAAACACAAGAGCCAGTCCCCCTCTTACTTCCTTTCCTCCTCCCAAGGTAGGGAAGGAAGCAGTGGTACCGGAGATGGTTTGTTGCTGTTGTTATGGGTTCCAGTTGCATTTGGCTATAAAACAATCTTGTTAGAAAAAATCAGTGGGGAGGAGGGGAACAGGAAGAGAGAGGAAGGCCTCTTCCCCCTCTCACCACACATTGAGACACATCTCAGTTGGTCTCTAATCTTGTTTGTAGGGATTCTGTTGGTTGGATGCCTGGAAAGGGAGGTGGGATGGCCTTCAGATGGTACCAGCTTAGCTCACATTACTGACCAGCTGTTGCAGGCTCTGAAAATAAAAACAATCCTGAACCCATGCTCTCTGCCTAGTTCTTGATGGATTTGAGAGAATTGTGTTTCCCTTTAAAATTCTGGGACCATACTTGACTAAAACCAGAGGGGGGGCCAAATTTCCTCAAAAGGCCAAAGGGCTCCCGTGTAGCAGGCCTTCAGGGATGGCCAGAATGACCTCTAGTTACTACCCTGACTCCAAAAACTTGTCATTCAGATTGACTGGCAAGATGAAATAGGGACATCAAAAGCTTACCCAAACCAGGCTCCTGGATGGCTCAGTCGGTTAGGTGTCTGCCTTAGGCTCAGGTCATGATTCCGGGGTCCTGGGATCGAGCCCCACGTTGGGCTCCTTGCTCAGCGGGGAGTCCGCTTCTCTCTCTCTCTTTCAAATAAGTAAAAGCTTCAACAACATCTACTTAGAGCCAGTCTTCTCTTCCTCACTCTCCCTGACTTTGTTCTTTAAATTTACTCTCAGCAGGTAACACTTCTTTGGATTATTGCCAAAGCCAGCTGGCCTTTGGCTTAGCCTATTGTTGCCACAATCAACCTGCTAAATGTCTAATTAGGTCAGCCCATTCTTACTGGAGAGTTTAATGGCTCCTTGTTGCCTATAAAATTAAACTTGAACTCTAGCCCATGTGCAAAGATACAACCCCAGCCTTACCCTATGTTCGTCTTATGCTCCAGTAACAGGCAGAGTTCTATTTCTAGAATGTACCCTGCCCTCTGATCCTTGCTTGGAAGTTTGGTTGAGAGCTGAGAATCTTGGGTAAGACAACTCAAAAAAAATTGGTTGTATGGGGCAACTGTGTTGTATGCAAGCCATCATCCACTGGTTCCAATAAAAAATGTTTAAGTTCGGGGGCACCTGGCTGGCTCAGTCGATGGAGCATGTGACTTGAGCTTGGGGTTTGTGAATTCGAGCTTAATAGTAAATCGTCCAGTCTCACCCATTCCCCCCAAGGTAACTGCTACCCCTGGCATTGTGATTGTTTTCTAAGCAAGCAGATACAGAATTGCTTTTCATGTTATAAACTGCACAAATATCCATTTTGTGCACATTCTTCTGCATCTCACTTCGGGTTTTTTGTGGTTTTTTTTTTTCTTAAAGATTTATGTATTTGAGAGAGAGTGCGTGCACATGGGGAGGGGTGGAGGGGGAGGTAGAGAGAATCCCAAGCAGGGTCCGAGCTGAGTGGCTGAGCCCGATGCAAGGCTTGAGATCACGACCCGAGCCCAAACCAAGAGTTGGACGCCCAACTGACTGAGCCACCCAGGCGCCCCTCACTTTGGTTTTTACACTGTTTCTTACACCAAGCGGCATAAGGGCATTTGGCTCCAGGAAGGGCACAGCATGAGTCAGTGATGACTCACAGGCCACACCTCTCCAACCAAGGAATCTGCAGTAAGTCACTTCTCGCTGCCTGGTGCCTTTCCTCAGAGATAACAAAGGGCACTTGAAGTAGATGTTCCACTGCAGCAGCTACCCCTGTCCCAACATTCTGTGACTCGGGTATTTGGATGCCCTCATACCCACTTCAGATCTACTGGGAAGAAGGGCATCCATGGAAGAAGAGCTGTAGCTTTCACTCAACAAACATTGTTCGTTCAACAAACATTTCAGTTGTGCTAGGTAGGCAGTGAGGATGAGGAGATGTGTAGCAGGCAGGCTCTCCTCAAGGAGCTCACCGACTAGTGGGAGAAAGTAGTCCCTTCAAGACCAGGAGCACGTGGGAGTGACACTTCCGTGGAAGAGAACGAGGATCAAGACAGGTGTAGAGCAAATAGTGCTCAAGAGGGACGGAAGGAAGCGCACCACCCAGGAGGTGATGGGTAAGCCTGATCTCGAGCAGGACTCAGGAGACGGGGTATTCCGGGAGGAAGGAATAGAAGGGTGAAACAGCACACAGTCATGAATGTAGATGAGGTAGGGGACAAGCTTGGGAGGGCAAGGGTGGTGGAGAGGGACACCAAAAACCTTGGATGTGGAGCTGAGGAGTCTGTGGAGAGCAGGACTTCTCAAGTTTAACAGCAGAAGTCACACCCGGGGAACTCGTTAAAACGCAGATTCTGGCTCCGTAGGCCTGGGATTCAGCATTTTCTCGAACTCATGACCTGGAGATGAAGAGTCGCAGGCTCTTCTGACTGAGCCAGGCAGGCACCAAGCGACTCCGCCTTACTAACAAGCTCCTGATGCCACGGGGCCTTGGTCCACACTTGAAGCCAGCCCACGTGAGGCAGCAGTGGCTGAGGGGTGATGAGCGCACAGCCATAGGGGAAGCTGTGGGCCTGGGAGACCAGGACGCTGGCCACTAGGACCTGGTGCTGGGTGGATGGCAGTAGGGGGAGGGAGAGACCACAGTGGCGTCCTGGCTCCTAACCTGAGGAACCACGTAGACTGTTGGCACTTAGAGCAAAAAATATAGGAGGAAAGGAAATGTCTGCATTGAGGAACTTTATAACGCTGCTGGCCTATATTCTCCATAAATGTCAGCACCACACAGGGCAGAGGGGCTGAGGAACCATTCCAGATTAAAGGAGACTCAAGAGACCTGACAACTAAATGAAATACGGGGTCCTGGACCAAAACAGAAAGTGCTGTAAAGGACATTTTGGGGACAATTCACAAAATTGCTATATGGACTGTTGATTAAGGTTAAAAGACTGCCTCAGTGTTTAAAAGTTCCTGAATTCGATAATCATCTAAGGATATCCTTATTCTCAGGAAATAACACTGCAGTTAAGGTTAAGCACTATGACATAGGAGAGTGCCTGGCTGATGAGGTCGGTAGAGCGCGAGACTCCTGATCTCAAGGTCGTGAGCTCAAACCTCACCTTGGGTGTGGAGCCTCATTACTATTTTTTTATTTTTTTATTTGATAGAGAGACAGCAAGAGAGGGAACACAAGTAGGGGGAGTGGGAGAGGGAGAAGCAGGCTTCCCACTGAGCAGGGAGCACGATGCGGGGCTCCATCCCAGGACCCTGGGACCATGACCTGAGCCTAAGGCAGACGCGTAACGACTGAGCCACCCAGGCGCCCCGGGTGTGGAGCCTACTTAAAAAAAAAGGGAGGGAGGGCATCTGGGTGGCTCAGTGCATTAAGCACCAGACTTTCTTTTTTTTTTAAGGTTTTATTTATTTATTTGACAGAGACACAGCGAGAGAAGGAACACAGCAGGGGGAGGGGGGGAGGGAGAAACAAGCTCTCCGAGGGGCAAGGAGCCCGATGCAGGGCTCGATCCCAGGACCCTGGGATCAGGACCTGAGCCGAGGGCAGACGCCCAACAACTGAGCCACCCCCCAAGTGCCAGACTCTTGATTTTGGCTCAGGTCATGATCTCAGGGTCTTGAGATCAAGCCCAGTGTCAGGCCCCACACTGGGTATGGAGCCTGTTCAAGATTCTCCCCCTCTCCTTCTGCCCCTCCATACCCGTTCTCTCTCTCTTAAAAAAAAAAAAAAATAGAAGACTATGGTGTAATTTACTTCCAAGTGGTTTATAACAGTAACAAAAAGATGTAAATGTGTGTGTGTGAGAGAGATACAGAGAAGAGAAAGCAAATGGAACAAATGTGAAAAATCAATGATTTTTCTTTTTTTAAGTGAACTCTAGGCCCAACATGGGGCTGGAGCTCACAACTCAGAGATGACAAGTTGCATGCTCTACCAACTGACCCAGCCAGGCGCCCCCCAAAATCAATGACTTGATAAAGGGCCTAAGGGAGTTCTTTGTACTATTTCTGCAACTTTCTGTAAATATGAAATTATTTCAAAAGAAAAAAGTTTAAGAGGAGAACTTCCAACCTCGGCTCCTGTGTGGACGGGGCAGGTGTGGGCAGCGGACTGTCCAGGTGCCTGGGTGGGCGGGGATGGACGTGAGGGAACTGCCCTGGAGAAACATCCAGGGTGGTGACAGCAACTTGTTCCAAGTGCCCAAATGGCATTGGTGTAGGAGAGAGGTGGGGGGGAGGGGCGCCGAGGGCCCCAGGGAAGCAGTGAGAGGCGGGAGGGCAGGATGGCAGGGACAGGGATGGGCCAGGGAAGGGGAGTGGAGCCACGGGCGGTGCGGCAGGAAGGCCTGAGAAATAAGAGAAAGCTCTGCTGGCTGGGGCTGGAACGCGCCCGACGACCTTGATTGAACAAAGGCTGCCCACCCT